ATATATTGAATTGTACAAATGAAAACTTTTAAGTTAGAATCTTTTTGTTTAAGTTTTTCAGTTATTTTAGCTGCAATGATAGCATTATTGATCTATATCAATTAATTAAGAATGTAATATTATTTAACTATGAGAATTAGAGATCATTCAGAATATAATACTCAATGATTTTTTAATCTAATTGATTATATCATACATTATAAACTTAGAAAAATCTGTTATTCATATAATTTCTATAGATTTCCAGATATTATTTATTCAAAGCTGACTTATCACTGCTCTTTATACTTTATGCTTGAAAATAGATGCTAACAGATATAAAAACTAATAGCAAAAATATTTATATTATTATATTTATTATTAAATAAAACAATCCTAATTTTATTATTATATATGTATTAGTTTAAAATTGATAATATTACATGACATTTTGAGTATCAGATTGACATTCCAAATATTTATAATGTATTATAAAAGTCTTTAGACAAAATTATTTGACTATTGCATCACAATAGCTAATCCAAATTACACATTTAATGATTCATCCAAAAGCTGAAGAGCATGAGATAATTTTAAAAAAAATTAATAAGAAATATATTTGCCATTATTTTCAATAATAAGTTTACAATGCTCTTTTATAGATCTCACTAAATTATTGATAAGACATTGGAGAATCTTTACTCATTTCTTCTTCATAAATTGCTTCAATTGTGAAATATTTTTTGATTATCATATCTTTATGTTTCTCTTGACAATACTCCATAAGTTTTTAATGGAATTTAGGTTGGGACTATTGGATGGCTAATCAATTACTCTTGGAAAGTTATTTTGAAAATATTCTTTCATCACACCACTTGTGTGCTTCAGATTATTGTCTTGTTGGAACCACCAATTATTTCTTAATATGTCTCTGATCTCAGGAACATGTTTCTTTAGAATATTGACATAGAAAAGACCAGTCATATCTTCTTGGAAGCAAAAAAGATTCATTTTTCCTTTTGTATAAAACCTGCCTCAAGTATTAATTTTTGTTTAGTCTTTTGAAATATAATGAACTGGCCATTTACTCTTGTATCAAACTTATATAGTATTTCTGAATAGCCAAAAACTTGTTTTGTCAGAAAATACTGTCTGATTCCAATTGTCATTGAGATGATTTTGTGCCCATTCTACCCACTTTTCCTTGTATGCCACCATGAGCATTGGTATTGCCATAGGGAGACTTTTGTCAAAGCCATATTTGGCTAAATGTCTTGAAAGTGTACTATAAGATACCCGAGTACCTTTTTTGAATAACTTTGTGGTCAATATTCTTAAAGATATCATAGGATTTCTCTGAATAATCTGTCTAATGGATCTTGAGCATTCTAGGATGATTTTTATAGGATGACCACTGCGTTTTTTGTGGACTGTACTTCGGATTTTCTTTAATTTTAAATGTTAAAGTAAATAGTTGACCTCGCAATATTTGTTAGGCGATGTATTTCGCCTGCATTTTTGCCCTGAAGCCAGAAATGCTCAATAATTTGGGCATGGGTATTTTTCTTGGTCGTCAGCATTTTCGTTCGCTCTTTTAGAAAATATATCAACAAAATTTTGCAAAAAAAGAAAGTAAAATGACTCGTAGTACCGAATATCTTATCTCTTTTTATTTGGTCTAGTTTGGATCGAAATTGAGTGAGTTACACCAATTTGATTTTGAACGAGACTTGCAACACACTGTATGTCGACCACTGTAAATTTAAGGAAAAAATTTTATTATATGACGTATTTGCTTCTATTAATACAGATATGGAAACTGGATCCAACAATCGGTAACGGTAACGTTCAAAATCTTGAAGAACACAATCCCGAACATTCATAAACCCGACAAACGAAATCCCAAAAAGACGATATCCTGAAAGATCGAAATCCTGAAATAATGGCATCCCGAAAGTATAGCACCCAAAATGCCAGAATCACAATATTCCGATTGGATTTCGTGTATTCGGGATTTTCGACCTTTCTGGATGTCGTTCATTCAGGATTTCGATTTTTCGGAATGCGTCATTCGGGATTTCATCTGTCAGGCTTATGAAAGTTCGGGATTGTGTTCTTCGGAATTTCGTACCTGATCCTCCACAATATGTCACGAGTCGGTCGCACGTCCCGCGCCCAATTGGGGAAAGGTAAAAAGGATGGTCCCCGCCTCCGTTCTGGGGTGCAAACTGGAAAATTAATGGTCACTTTAAAAATCTAAAAGAATAATTAACAAAGGACTTAAAGAACAAACTATCGTTAATTTTAGTTAAAATTTATATTAACTATCGCAACGCTGTACGTTCTATGAATTACAAAAGGTAATAACATAGACTTTTTAATTTGCCAATAAAGTTTCATATTATTGAATTGCTTGATTTTTAGCATTTTTAAAGTATGCATAACCGATTGACCCGGTTTTAAGTCACGAAATAACATCCCGGGATCCGGGATATTATGTCGCGTCCAGAAAAGTTGTGTTGAAATCGTTACATAATTCAAAAAAAATTCCGGAGTTCATAATCAAAAATCACAGAAAAATGTAATCAAGTGCTGACGTTTACATGTATTGGTTGTAAAGGTGAGCCACCATTTAAAGGAGAGTAATAATGAACCATATTGTTAGCTCCCCAAATGACTCTTCGAAATTTATGATCGATGAAATACAATTTCGATTAATGACTATATTTTTTGATTTATACCAATTCCCATCACGTAATATTAAACAAAAAAGCTTAAATTTTATTATTCAAAAGAATTTTTAAAAAAAATCAATAGTTAATCGGGTAAACCAGATTTTATTGATTATTCGGAGATTAAATTTTTTAATGACGGGTAAAATACATTTGCAAGTAATTTTTACAAGTAATTTCTTAACTGGCTGGAGAAATTACAATTGGTTATACAACTTGTAAAAACATTACATGTTTTTATAACAATTCACTTATTTTCTTCACAGATGTTTTACTGTTAAATTTTACTTGAAGAATTTTTATTCCTGTTGTTTATTACTTTAATTCGTGGATACAATTCATTTTGTTGTTATTGTCTTCTGTTATTGCCCATGTTGAGAATTGTGAACTTATAATATTTACTAAAACAATAATTTCTGGTGCTAAATCTTTATTTTCTGACATAGAAACTCCTTCAAACGTAAAATTTTGTCAGAAATTCGGTTGTTGTTAGCAGGGTTTGCATGAAATCTGTCCAGATTGTACGATCAAAAGCAATGGATACTGGACTGGACATATAGTAAATACTTTGATTCTCAAACATTCAGAATACATCGAAAATTTAAAATCTAGGCCAAACTTCATACCTCTGTGAAGAGTTTTTTTCTTCGAATATCTCAAGAACTAGTGGTATGATTCGAATGATTTTCGAGACGAATCGAATGAAATTCTTTTTTCACAAAAATAATAACTCAGGAACCAGGAATGATTTTGACATCATTCGATTCGCAACAATGAGACATATCGAATAACATCAAAATCATTCGAACGGATCTTGTTTCTGAGATATTTGTGAAAAAATATGCTTTGGGATTCGGTAATGATTTTTTCCGTAAAAATTTTGACACAGAATGTCTCGAAAAATTTAAAGGAACGTATCGAAATGGATAGATATTCATTTACAGATAGTCACCAGATATATCAAGAATATAATACTGGTCATATTGAACAATGGACAATTGTCTGTAATGTTACGCCTTTATTTGATTTCAATGAAACCACCGAAGAGAAGTTACCTCAATGTGTGAAAGTGTTCCACTAACGAAGTTATTGCCGATGTTAAGGCGAGTGTTTAATATAATATGAGGGAGAATGATTTGAAAATGCAAAGGGGATTATGCTACGGATAAAAGAATTATAGGTATTCTTTATTTATTTTTAACAATAGAGTTCTTTGAGTCGACGAGAAAAGTCACGAGACGGAATATCGATCAAGATTTCTTAACACGGTTAAGCCTATTGTACAAAAAGAATCAATAACAAAACGCTGGCTTTCTTCTGGTAAAAGCAACAAAACCCGAAGTCAATTAATAAAAGCAAGAGGTAGTACTGTTTTAATTACTTTGAATTTTATTATAATTTGACTTGTTCTTGATTAAGGCTCAGGAGCTTGATTATATACATTGATCTTCGGGTACCAAGTGGGGGTACCGCCCAAAAATTAAAAAAATAACAATATATATACATACTGTAAGTAATATTTGATTTATTATTACTAAAATATAATAATTTTAATATTAACTTAATACTATATTAAGCCCAACATCCCGAGATTCCCAAAAATCTCCGGCTTCCCAACATCCCGACGTCAAAATCCCGACAATACACTCAAACTTATGCAATAAAGCATTGATGCGAAATTCATCTAGGCACGTGTAATAAATAATAGTTTACCACTATCGTAGCGATCGTAAAGGTGAAATTTTATTAGCTTTATATTACCCTGACTTTTCATGCATACATACTTTTACACTTATTTTTTTAGGAATGTCGGGATGTTAGGGAGTTGGGATTTTGGGCGTTCTGGATGGTCAAAACAATGCTACATATCCCACACCCACCCACATGTAGCATATATTGATTAAAAAATCATTAGCCCGATGTGGGCAAATTAATTGTACTTTATCTTTCTGTTAAATGATTGTATTGCAAAATATTGCGCAAATAGTAGAAAAACTTTGATATTTTCCGATGCATATACATACTTAGAAAGACTCAAAGATATCACATTAAATATATATCCACATAAGTTAACCATATAAGCGAAAAAATAGCTTATTATCTTTTTAAACTTTATTTATATATTTTTACAAGTTAGTTAAACTATTAAGATAATAATTTTTTTCTAAAACTAGAAATGTTATTAGTCTATTTTATCTGATTAAAATTACTATTCCATAATACGTTAATCCTTACAATATATGTCTTTTTAAAATATGATACGTCTTACACACATTGTTCACTAACTGCTTATTGTTTATTGATGATAGAGGTGTGCCTTTTTCTATGTAATCTTGATGCTTTTACCGCTAAGTCATTCCGAATGCTTTCAATATGATTGAGTGTTAACTACAGAAGGAAAAAAATTAATTAACAAAAGGGATCTTCTCAGACATATGAACTCGGTATGCCCAACAGTCATAAAGTAGCAGTGAGATAGAAGACAAACCTCAAGTCGTAACAATGTCACAACTAATTTCTCGATTATGAGTAGTTGTGAATTGGATTGAGGTAAATTTGTTTTTTTAAGTAAGCCTAGCCTCCACAAACCTCTTGATTTCCAATCCATAGTAAACAATTGATAATGTGCTTTTCCTGGAAATCTTACCATAAGAGTGGATCCCAGTTGTATATAATTGCTTGAAATCTGTACACTCTATTCCATTATTTTCAATTGCTTCCCGCAATAATACGTCGCGCATTGCAACCATCAAATCAATCTTATCGTCCCACTTCTTTGATTTACAAGTCTTCCAGATCGCAATTCAATATCCATTTCAAATCCGTCACATGTAATCCTAAAATCGCATTTTTGTCCTATCAGAGACCTGTCTGTTGGTTTCTTCATTGAATCGATAACGAATGCAGATGCAATACTTTGTATCTCTCCTCTAAAAAACAATATCAAAATGTTTTATTATTAACAAATAGAATAAAATTTGGTAAAACCGGGAATTTCAATATCCTTACTCATCATATACAAACTTCCGACGGGTAATAATGGTCAAAAAATTAAAAGTTTAGAAATTTAAAGTCATGATAGTAATAAAATCGATGGCACACCTCAATTGTACATTTTTCTATTGCCTTGATTAGATCATCTGGCTTCTTTCCAATGAATTCAAAAGTCAGCCAATCATCAAACGAACAAAATGAAGATGTGAGCACTTGTTACCTCTTGGATTTTATCAAATAAGTCGTATAACATTTCTTCTTGAGATTGCCGTTTTTCTTCATTACTAGTGGTAATAATATTTCCTCCACCGCTGTTATTAATCTCTTCCGGCTTATCTTTCTTTTATATTTTTAAATTCCACTGTTTTGCTAAAATAATTTTTCATTTCTTACCATTCATCGCCAGTAAACAGTTTCTTGACTTCTGTACCTTCCCAGATAAATCAAGTGTTCCAAAAAATGCGGGACTGGCAAATAAACATTGAGATGTGTGATGTTAGATAAAACCTTGCAACTGAGTTACTAAAATAAATGTTTACTATAGGTAGGCTTTTGATTTTGGAATTGTTGATCTAAAGTTCTCCAAAACTTGAGAGACGTTTTTCCCTGTTGAGAGAATCCACGCATTAAATGGAAAAGCTTTCCACTTGTACAGCTTCTGGTTGGGAAATTTCTTCAGTTTTATTCTTTTTGATTAACAAAAAAAGTCAGCCTTCCAAAGCATATTTGATTATAATGACAGATAAAATCCAATAAAGATATGCAAGGGGAAGGTATTTTTTTACCTCTTCATTTGAGAAATTCATCTTAACATCCGAGATTTCGTCATCATAATCATATATTTCTTTGTCTTCGTGAGCTTTGAACTTATAAGTTGTAAGAGATAATTAGAATAAGTGATATCGATAGCATATTGCACCATAAGAAGAAAACAGATCAAGTACAAACCGATTCAGACAGTACGTTATCTACGTTATATTCTTATGATGAATTCGTTTTTTACTAGACGATGAGGCTTCTTAGTTATCTTTCCCTATTTGTTTTTTGCTCGAAATGTTTCGTAAGAATTCTGAAATCTTACGTTTTGTGAATATTGATGAATCGAGTAGCCGAATTCTCTCAGAAATCTGCTTGTCCAGGTTCAATTAGTATAATTCATTATAAAGTTCCTCACAACTTTGCCTCATAGTATATCCTTCAAAAGTTTTACAAATTTCAAGAAGATCTTTGCAAAATATAGTTATACAGCCGGAAGCCTTTTTAATATTGTTTCTCGTGATAAGTTTCAGATTTTTTGCTAATCGTTATAAACAGTAGATCATAGTAAAATTATTTCATCAGATTTCAGACGAAACTCCCAATAGTGTTTTAATTGCTAGAACTATGCCACTGTTTTCTCAAAGTAAATGTAAGTACTAATCTCTTCAGATATCGTATAACCAGATATGCCTTCGATCTAAGAACTGCAGTCATGATTAAAAAGTATACAGAACTGGGAATGGTGATTAGCCGAAATAAAGTAGTGCTATAATTTCGTGCGTACGCAAAGAATATGCTTTGAATTCTCTGATGATTTCATTATCTCATATGAGTAATATATAAATCACGATCCGATTTTTTGGTATTACATACATATAGTTCAGCATGCTTCGCATTGACTAATCGTGCACGGACTAATAATTCAATTTATAATAAAACAGATCGATGCACAGACGGGTGAGGTGTCATTTAGGATAAATTAGCGGAATTGACATTGTTTTGATCTAGTTGAGCACAAATGTATAAAGATGTCAGGTTCACGCTATAAATAAGTTACAATTTACAAAGTGTCGAGTGACCCAACTAACCGTATTTAAACATGCTCTTTATTGTCAAAATGAAAATGTACAGAAAAGTTTATATACATTTTTTGGCGTAGTTATCTTTACAACGTAATTTATGTATTTCTAACAAGTTCCAACCTTTTGCGTGAAATAAATGCTGATCAATATGTTTTCCTATAAAAGATGTGATTTTTTTGATATCTCTACCTTTCTGCAAAATAAAAATAAAGCATCACGATATTAGAAAAGCCTTTAGTAAAACTAAAGAAAATTTCACCGCTCAACATCAACTTATTTTACTTATCTTTAATTGAATTAAGATAGATAGATAGATACAGTGTGTGACAAAAAAACTTAACTATTTTCTGCTTATATTAAATAATAAATAAATGTCTTCAATTTTAGCTTAATTTATACTATTTTTTACTGAATTAAAATTAAATAACATATTTATTTACTATATTTATTAAATAAATTCTTGCAAAATTCACTATTAAAATATTATTAATTACTTATAAATAAAAGATATATAGCTTATTATATTATTAGAATAAAGATATTTGTTCTATATTTAAACTATCCAAACTGATTTTAATTCTATAAAAAATTTATGAACTATTATTAAGAGTAATATTAAGAAATAAATACCTAAAAATTTGAATATTTTAAAGAAGTTTTTGATAGAAGAATGGGATCCTATTTCAAAAATTATTTTAAATAATTTAATAAATTCAATAAAATATTATTGTAAGTTAGTTATTAAAAGCAAAGATAAATAAATCAATTTTTAAGCCTAATAAATTTTATTCTATAACTTTTTGCTTTTAAATAATATATTGATCAGTAAATTTGATGTAATATTCATGAATTTATAATGAATTTAGTATAGTTAAGTTTTTTTTGTCACATACTATATATATATATATCATAATTTTGCTAATAAATGGCTAATGATCATTAACTTCAAGAAGTGATCTGAATATCTACTGTCTCATAACTTCACTGCCAATTACCTAGAACAGATATGAGAGACTTTAGCAAAGTTAATAGATCAGATATGAATAATTACTAATTATTAAGTAATTCATAACTTTACTGCTAATTATTTGGAATGGATATAAAATATGACTTCTTCAAGATAAGTATATTAAGAAAAGTTCTCACTATCAATTATCTGAAATAAACACAAAAACTTTGATATAATCACATTTTCTTTATTTCAGCTTAATTATTTAAGAGAACTTTTATTACTTGTAAATAATAATATAATAATAATATAATTAATAGTGAAAAAAAATGATAGATTATATAATATCTAATAAAAAAAATTAAAAATATTTCTTAATATTTTATAACTTACAATTTAATTAATATAATCATAAAAATTATATGATCTATTATTTTTTCTTTGCTATAACTAGAATATCTTTATATTTTTATTTTATTAAAAGATTATAATAGTTAAAATACTTCAAAATAATATTTAAGTCATATATAAGCTATTATTAAATTAGTTTTTTGATATTTTATTTTTAAATATTGAATTTAATATCAAAAATTAATTTATTTTCTTATAATATATAATATTTATACTTATTAAATATGTAAATCAGTCCAAAATAATAATCTTATATTTTTATTTTATTAAAAGATTATAATAGTTAAAATACTTCAAAATAATCCTTAAGTCATATATAAGTTATTATTAAACTAGTTTTTTGATATTTTATTTTTAAATATTAAATTTAATATCAAAAATTAATTTATTTTCTTATAATATATAATATTTATACTTATTAAATATGTAATTCAGTTCAAAATAATAATTTTTATATGATATAAATATATTTGTTAATTTTATTAACTTATTAAATCTAATATTAAATTATATATATAATATTTATTTTTTTATCTAATTTATTTAACTTCTCAAAAATATTTTACAAAATTCTTCTGTGAAATTAGTATTTTTTTATTATATATTCTATCAATTTTTATTAATATTATTTCTATAAAGATTTATATAAAATTAATATTTTCTTAAGAACTTTCTAATAATCATTAAGAATACTGAATCAAGACTTTTAGAAACTGTTTTTTATAATTTTTATTATAAATAATTATAATTTTTATATATATATTATTTAATAGCTTCTTAATATCTCTTAATAAAATTTAACTTGCAGTAAAATTTCAGAAAAAAATATATTTATATCATATATTTTTAATTAAATTATATTATAAAAAAGTTATTAATATATTAATCAGATACTATATTAATAATATATTTAATCTTATAAATAATAATATATATTCTAGCTAATAAAAAAATATAATTATTTTATAAAGAAAAATATTATATAACTCTTTAAACTCAAATAAATATAATATATTAATATATGAATTAATCTTTTTTAATATCAAAATTTTATATAACTTTTTATTATATATATTATATAAAAAAAATAAAAAATTATAAATAATTCAAAATTTTATTATAATAATTAGCTTTTAATTATTAAGTAAAAATATTCAATATAAAATTTTTAATATATTTTCTAGTAATAATTTATAATAATTTTGATTGGATTATCTTCCTTTAGATCTCTTTTAGTTTAGATCTTTATTTTACGCTATCTATATAACAGATTAGCTTTGTATTACATTTTTAAGAAGATCATTTTCACTCTGGATACACAAATGATCATTATGTATT